ATATTATTTGTTGATTACGTGCTTCACCGTTTTACGTAACCTTCTTTTTCTTGACATTAATATCATCGAAGTACCTCGGTAGTTGTTAATTACACCACAAGTAAAAGAAAATGTTCATGGCATGTAATTTATTGGGTAAATATCATTTTTGGTTCCTAACAAAAAATACGATTTCTACTTTAGTCCCTTGCAAAAGAAAAAATAGTGAGTTGGCCCATAACAAATTCAAAGTGGACTCATTTAGTTGAAATCGTGGTCCCTCGCAATTTCAAAAAAAACCCATATTAGTCTCTCAAAAAGACTAAATTGAGTCCATTTTGAATTTGTTAAGGATCAACTGACTAATTTTCTTTTTGTAAGGGACTAAAGTGGGGACCGCATTTTTTGTTAGGGACCCAAAAGAATATTTATTCTAATTTTTTTTGTGTATATAATATTATTTTTAGTATAATTTGGAAGTATCCTCATCCAACCTCTTCCGGTCACCTTGCTCTCGGGAGGCTAGCTCCTCATTGGAACAGTGGTGTATTGAACTTCGCTACAAGATGAAGGATGAGACTAATTCTCCTATTCGAGGAGGGAGTCATTGGAACAACGAGTGCATTGAGCTCCGTTATCGGATGAAAGATGAGACTAATCCCTCATTCAAGAAGAAGACACGTCCTCTCAAAATATTTTTCAAAAATTTGCGTGAGACAGAATTTGAACCCTCACTTGAACAAACCCTTAAGAGTTGCCAACTGAACTAGCATTGCAGTTATTTTTACTAACCTGTAAACTCGACATATTTATAAGAGCAAATGACTTTGTGATTTTTATAGGTATACGGTACTTCTCTACCTGCTCCAAATCATTGGTTCATTCATTGTAAAAAGGGGGGAAAAGTGTAATCGTCCAAATCGAATTAACACGATTTTGGTTGGTTTGATTTTGTTGAAGTTGAGTGATTTTTTTTATTTCCCAGATTTAATTCAATTTAACCTGAACTCAAAAAAGTAGTTTGGGTTATTTTTATTTTTTTGAGATATTTCAATTAAGACTTTAAATTCTCCCAAAGGCCATACTTACTTAATTACCCGGCACCAACTGAGCTACAATCATTTGATAGGTTAATTTATTTTTGTCAATATAAAAAATGGAATTTGATTATAAAATAAAAAAAAATGAAACAGAAGAGAATGAGCTGGCTATACTTTTGGGAAATATGATGTATTTTGCTTTCGGCCCATATATCTGGCGTGAAGCTATCATGTTTCATACTTGTTGGTTTGTCTTCTCCCCTGTGAATTAATCTACAAGCTAACTCCCTCCAACAGAATTTGGATTATTTAAGCGATAATAATGAAGAAACTCGTGCTATAACCCCTTATATTTCACAAGAACCTAAAGAGAAATGAGAATTACATATCATTGATAGCGAGCAGCAACTCATCCATAACATGGAGAACACCAAGAACAGCTTCAGCAACTATACCTATAATGATGTTTATTGTGATGAAATAGTAAGCGTTCCCTTCTCATGGGAATACAAACCTGGTCTCTCCAAAGTACTCACTCATCAGCTATCTAACAATGACACAAGGCGCAGTAATTTAGTGCTCCGGCCTCCTCCATGCTCATCATCAAGGAGTGGAGCTGATAAACTTCGCGTTGAGGACAGAGAGAGTCCTTTTATTCAATGTTCAGTTCAGCCTTCTTCACGGAGAATCAGTTCGTTTGGAATGGAAAGTCAGAAAGAAGACCCTTTTTTTGAAGCTTACAAGAAATGCACCAAAAGCCCCTTTACGACCAATCGGTCCCGTAAGAGTAATTCGAACAATGGATCTTGGCCTAACATAATGAAGTACATGCATATATTTTCCTGCAAGTATTCCAGCGATGTTATGAGCATGGTTTAGTTGTAATCTCTGTTTTTTTTTTATTGTCTTAATTGGGGGATTATTTAGTTTGTTTATCAATTGCAGTGGATTACTGTGATCGGTTTATTATTTATATTCGTACCAAATTAATGACAGTCCGAGACTCTTGTTAAAATCTCGATTAATCATTACGATTTTATGTTTTTACGATTTTTTTTCTTTATCAAAATGATTTTACTAATATTTCAAACGTTTTTATGTTTTAATAATTGTTTTATATTATAATTTTACGTTTTACAATTTTTTAATTTTTTTTCGATTTTATTTAAGATCTCAATTTTAACAATATTGTCGAGACGATGGCAACTCTTCAAATACCATAAACCATTTATAAAATCTATTTAAGAAATGTCTCTCGTTTCGAAGAGGGAAGAGGGAGGGAGAAAAAGAAAATGAAGAAAGATAAAAAAATGTTTTAATTTTGTCCAACGTGTCTCCAAAATAGATTCTCTTATATCTTAATAACTAGTTTAATTACCGCAGCCTCCAATAAACGGTGATTCTTGTCTTTGCATGCCTCCAAATACATGGTCCCTTTTTCCTTATTCTCAAAACCGCCGGCTATGATCGTTTGTATGTGTTTTGATTCTTGTAGAGCTAATTAATAGGAACATTAATTTTCTTCTCTATATCATAATGATTAATGGTTGAGGAACATAACTGAAGATTCGCCAAATAAATTTGACAACAGGGAAAAACAGAATTGGAAAAAAATGATATGCTAATTTGCAGGGGGTATAATTAAAGTTGTATTCCTATAATATATCCAAAATCAGGGTTTGGTTTTGATTATGATTTCCTAATACCCCTCAAGTTGAAGCACGAATATCTTTAATGCCTTCCACGTGAGATTGAGGAATTGACCACAACTAAGAGACTTGGATAAGATATATTTGCCAATAGAATGTAGTGAACAGGGTTTATTTCTACCTTCCTATTTTGTTCTTTCATGAAATCGAAATTTCTACCTTCAAGTTTTGTTCTTTCATGAAATAGAAATTGGGTGCAATATATATATATGTGGAGCCATTAGTTTTTATTCGGTTTCACGAGAGAATTATCAACAAAGATATTAATTCTCTTTGATCACAAAAACAAAAAATCTAGAGAACGAAAAAAAAAAAAAATCAGATGCGCACAGGACAAGAGCATATTACCTCTGATACCATTACAAAAAGAAGAAGAAAAAATCTTATTTGTAATGATTGGAAGCTAGAGTCCCTGTATGCATATGTTAAAAGAGATGTAATATAAAAAAATGGGATATAATCCGTTTACAATTTTTTGTGTGCAAATTACACTAAGTACAACCGGTCGTACACTGCATGATTAAAGTATGACCAGTCGTACTTAGTGTAGTTTGTAAACAAAAAAATTTGTATATATAACCTACCCCTAAAAAAATTATTGATCAACTTCACATAATTGGAGTTTTAGGTGAGATCGTTACTTTAGGGAAATTTTTAATATGGTCACTAAAAAATTGATACTTGAATATTTTTTTTTTCTCCTCAACTTTTTCTCTGACGTTCGTCCTACCAAATTTTTTTAGCACACAAACCATAGAAATATCGTTCTTGCTTTAGATGGTAGCAGAGCTTCGATAACTGTGGGATAGGGGACACAACCATATCCAAATTTATGATATGATATTTTGCCTAAGAAAAAATCGTATTATATTTTTTTGAAATTATAAATTTTATGTCAAATGTTAGATAATAAGTAATAAAAATTATAAACATATAAAAAAATTACAAATTAAGTAATAAAAATTACAGACCGTAAAAGTTATAGATTTTTATTACTCAGTTTGTAAATTTAATTAATTTATTACGTACTAAATTTATAACATTTAAAAAGATAATATGATACTCTATTTTTTTTTTCAAAGAGTATCAAATTATCATAATTTAGGATTTTGAATAGTATTCCTAAAGTTTAGGAATACAAAAGGTTCCTATAATAACTTTTAAAAGTCGTTGGTTTGATTTTGACAATGATCTCCTAGTACTAATAAAAACAATAATAGTTATATAAGAATTTTAATAATAAAGATGGCAAAATAGCTAATTGATTCAACATTTCTTTTCGGCAGGCTTTCCTACTACAGAAATTGATTCAACATGGCTTCGTCGTGGTCGTATTAATATAAGCATGATTTTAGGGGGAAATATCACTTTTCTTTAGGATAACATTTCGGTGTGACTTTTAGGGTTGATCTTATAAGTAAGAATAAGAGAATTTAGATTTATTTATGGGAATAACTATGATTTGAGTTTTCTGAATTAGGGATGCATTTTAGAAAAAAATTACAAATTATAACACGGTTGATTGAAAAATCAATAAATGAAATTGTGATAATATATATGCTCATATATAACAAATAGTGACGGTGTTAAAACCATTTCGTTGATTTTTCAATTAACTTAAAATTCTGTATTTTTTTTTCTCTAAAGTGCATTCCTTATATTTAGAGGAGTCAAATTTTAAAAATATAGTATACTTATTTGGATTTTTTTTTAAAAGTTGTTTCTGATTTTTTTTTTGAAATAACTAATAAAAAATAAAAGCTATTTATGTTTGCATGAAATAGTGGAGAACTTTTTTTTCATAGCTTTTCCTTGTTATGAAAAACTCTTATTTCATAAGAAAAGCTTAATTATTTTAGTCCTTTAATTTAATTTAAGAAAAGCTAATTCAAACCCTAAAATATTGTAATTTTTTTCATCAAGAAATTACATATATATACAAACAGTATATAAACCAAGTTAACCATCTAAAGTTTGTTTTATACCCATCTAACGCTTCATTTGTTGTCTTGTTCGAGTGATGCAGACCGTGTGAACTTGGTCTTCTCTTTTTTTTCCAACTCCTCCATCTTTTCTTTGCAATTTCGTTTCAAAGCCAAAAACAAATTGTCTATATATGCTCACGTTTTATGTGCTTGTCCCACAGGATGTGATGTTAATTAAGAACAACCTAGTGGAACAAATATATATAAAAGCCTTGTAGAATCAAGCTTCACCACCTCAATAATCATATATTGTATTGATATATAGGAATTGTCCTTTCTCCTTTACAATGAGTCAACCATCAGCGGGAAAGATACCCTTCTCATGGGAAAGAAAGCCTGGTATCTCCAAGGTAACTATAGCTGAAAGTTTCCAAAGAGAACACAAATTTGTGCCCAGGCTGCAACCCCCTCCGTGCACAACAGAAGCTGCTAGGAATTCTGTTCGTGATTTCCAAATTCCACTTCCTCCTTGCGCTTTTCAGCCTCCTTATTATGGAATGCCTTCCAAGAAAGACCTGAACTGGATGCAAGACCATGATCCTTTTTTTGCTGCTTACAAAGAATGCACCAAGAGTACCAAAAGCGCTGAGAGGAACAATAAGTTACTGAAAAATGGTATCGAGACCAAGTTACGGAATAGCATGTTTTTTTTCTCTTGCAAGCGATCCTGCGCTGTTCGTGACAATAATTTTGTCAGGATCACTTACTTACCACACAACCTAGATAAAGATTGATTGATCGATGTGTTTGTCTTTTTGATTTATTTTTGTGTTGGGGACATCCTCTTTCCAAGTCAAATTATTGTGATATCAGTTTGTCAATAAATAGATAAACAAAAAATTATTGTGGATCAGCACTCCACGCTCTTATATTCTTCAAAGGGCAATTATTCCCCAAAATGTTATAGTTACTGGTAGTAGGCATCGATCAATATCAAATTCCAATTTGATTAAATTTTACAAATTCCAAGTTACATGAATAATATATTACTGCTTCATATTTACATGAAATAATATCTCTGGGATCTGTTATCTAGTGAATGTATGGATTCGCTTATTTTTTTTAAAAATGATTATCCTTTCGTTCTGATTATAAGTTGTTTTGAATACAAAATAAACTAATCTAATCACACATTCTTATTGATGGTGAAATTTGATTCTCTAATCAATTGTTCCTCTAATTAATTGTATTGCGGTTACATGCACCGGAGGTGAAATGCTGAATCTGTCGGTTCAGCCAAAGGTCTCGTTCGTGACTTTTGCTTTATGATCAGGTTCATAGTGTGACAATTTGATGCTGGAAAGACACATAGTAGTGATAGTGCATGTCTACCTATATTGGTTGTTAAAACATTGCTTGAGAATATGTTGAATGACAATTATACGTCCGACAAAATGGGTTCGACCTATATAACCTGGACCGCCTAAGTCAAAACGGATTGAACCCGTTATGAGACGGGTTAGCCCGTACATCCCAACACTCCCATAGCGATGCCACAAACCCCATGGCAAATATTTAGTTTTTTAGGAAAATGTTCAAATACCCCTCATGGACTTTATCCTATATATTATGCAACAAATATGCCCTTACTTTCTTGTGTTTTTTATTTATTTATCATTTACCCCTTCTACTTTTTTCCATCCAAATCCCTCACTAACAAAGTTAAAAATTTAATCAATATGTCTATTTTACCCTTCTTACAAAAAAATAATAAAATATCATCCAAATGGCTAGGGCCAAAATTATAGATTTACAAAAAAAATAAAAAAATAAATCAAATGTCAAAGGCATCAAATATCATCTTACAATAATTCCTAATTCATTATTTTCTCTAAATAATTAATCTACTTTTGTACGACCAACGCACGACAACCAAAACTTTTCCACATCAATCAGAGTTGTAAATCTGGTTTTATATCAACCGTTTTGAAAATATAGCGCTACAAGTGAGCAACTATTTCACGTTAAACAAAATTATAAAGCTGCTCTAAAATATATTGTACAATGACAAATAGTGCAAAACCAAATTTGACAAGCTCGACGTTCAAAGGTAAAATGCTTTTGTCTCTGTATTATGTATTTAAATTGTTTGACCTTCATTAGGTGACAAAGAAGCAACACCGTGTTTCCCTCCTCGAGCACCATCTACCAATTCAAGATACCATTGTTATAATATATAGATATAAAATAAAATAACATGAAAATCAATTGTATAATATTACATTTCGTTCTGTCTCCTTGTAGGAGGTTGAGATATACGTGTAGGAACTCGACTCCGAGCTCTCTAGCATGAATAAGCCTGTTGCGCTTGCTCTCTTCAATGTCAAGCCCTCCTTTGGACTAGTGTTTCTCCAGTGATAGATGCCTTACAATTTCGAATGTTGTGTCCCTCCACGCCACAATTTACACATCGGATAGGTTTATTAATCCTCGTCACCTTATAAGGATTTTGAGGCTCATCAGATTGCTTTCGCCTCATTTTCTTAGGCCTATTGTGTGGCTTCTTGATAACAGGAGCCGCAATAACAGTCTGGCGCTTCTGGCGCTAGTCCCACGCAAGTAAACAGAAGCTCTTTTAAAGTCTGGCGCGGTAGATTCGAAGTTATAATGCTGATAACGCTAGTTTTGTGCTATTGGCGCGGAAAAACAAAGGCTTTTTTAAGTTATTAGCACTGGTAATGAACTTGGTGCTTTTGGAGTTGTGAAACAGAAGGTGAATTCATCTTTGACGCTTCCAGTGCCAACTTGGCGCTGATAGCGCGGCTGTACTGGAGCTTCTCTTCTTTTGTTCATGTGATTTAATCTCATTTTTGTGTGAATTTTCCTACAAAACATGAGATTTTCAATGAGAGTAAGCTTGAGAATAGATTAACAATCTTTATCTCAATTATATGACTTTTTGGGTCAACTTAGATTGAATCCTTGTTTATTTTGACCTTTAAAACATAGTATGCTGGAAGCATATCACTGGGGTCCTGAGAAATGACATTCAATGTAAATTGCAAATTGTGAAGCCTTTTTATGAACATAAATAGTGTTTAACAACATTAATGTAAAATTAAAGAAACATGGAGTTGTGCCAAAAAAGTAAAAGAAGAAAGCCTTGCAGATCTGTGTATTTTTTATTTTATTTTTCATTGACATAACAAAGACTCCACTTACATTGTATATATATATATTTTAAAATATTTGTTATTTAAAATTTTATGCAATAATTGTAAATAAATTTGTATATGATAAATAGCTCTATCATGAAGAATCGTTCTTTTAAATACAAATCCCTTTAGCAGTTCACTCTGATATACTAACAATAGGAAGTAAAATAAGTGTAAAATTGACTTAAATATCTTTATTAATTTATAGCAACACAACTATATATATTTCAGTTCAAGTTTACTTATAAAATTATGTTATTCTTATTAAAAAATTGTTCAAGTAAAATATAAAACTTCATTAACAGTACATTATAAATAAAATCCTTTTTCTTTTTTTATAAACTTCACCACTCAATGAGACACTGAACCTCAACCTAGATCATATAAAACACAATAAATAAATAAATTAAACACTATATAAATTGAAAACATATTGTCATTCTTCTTAATACTTGAATTAATAAGAAAGAAACCCTTAACCTCAAAGAACGATTTAAAAATGTTTGGTATGATAATTCAATTGTCAAACATAAGCCTTCATAATTTCTTCTTCTTCTGAAAATCGGAAAACTATTTTAAAAAATGAGTGGAGAAACACTATAGCCAAACAAGTTTTAATCAAATTATTTTTCACTATCTTAACATACCAGACAACTCTATTCTTCCATTCCCTCATGTTGTAAGAATAGAACCACTTATTTCTGCATCGAAAATGGTTAAGTCTATTAATAATATTTATTATTATACATATTAGGATTAATTAATTTTTTGAGTCTAAAAAAGAACAAAATTACTGCAACTATACCATTATGTTATGCATCGAAAATTGTTAAGCCTATTAATAATATTTATTATTATGTCTATTATGATTATTAATTATACCTATTTACAATTGAAAAGTAAAACTATTTCCAATACATCATGTGTCTCTTCGTAAGTCATTCAATATGCCTATATAATGTTTGCGTGCTCCTTACAGCTTTCAATACACAATGTGTCTCGTAATTTACGTTATTTGCCCATAAACTTTCATTTTTGCATATATTATATAATAATAAATTTTGAATGTGCAGAGAGACGATGAAAAGAGAATAGAACTATTGGAGCATTGTATTAATGTGAAAACACTACAACAAAATTTCTCTTTAGCCACGGCAAAAATCATGGCAAAATATGATAAAAACCGTGGCTAAATAAGTTGTCCACTGTTTGAAAAACCGTGGCTAAAACGAGCGTTGCATTATTTTAACCACGGTGTTTTTTGCATTTAAGCACGGTCTGAATGAGTGTGGTAACATTGTATTAGCCACGGCTTCTGTTATATTAGCCACGTTTATTCGTGGCTAAACTATTTGTATACCAATGATCAAAAGTTTTATTTTGCCACAAACAGAACCGTGGCTAATTATAAGGAATTTTTAAAAAAAATAAAAAATATTACGATTTCTCCCAATAATATAAAACACAAATAATAAAAATTGCATTTGATGCAAGAACCAAAAATCAGATTAAGATAATAAAATAAAGTGTAGTACACAATTTAACACAATACAATTTTTTTTCCATTCATATAATTAAATCATGTTTTCTATACAATTTCTCAAAATTCATATTTTTTTTCCATTTCATATAAGCTCACGGAGTTTCCTTTACCAACAAAAGGAACTAATTACGTTTTCCACTTACATCATTTAAGAGAAGCAATTCCCATATAAAGCTAAAACTATATGTTTGCAATTGTCACAAAACATCTATAAAATATTAACTCCGTTGTTCAACTAAACAAAATATGACAACACATTTTTTAAATCTATCTTCCAAAAATTGTTGTATGCATCCTATCCTTTTAAAAGGACTTATCAGCAAATCATACCTATATAAAAAAAATTAAATAAGATATACTAAAATGTCACATAACTTTTCAATGTCAAGAAATTACTATTTTTTTTTTAGATAAGAACAAACATTTAAAAGCATTAATTCTGTTAAGAGGAGAAGCATAAACCTCCAGGCCCACCTATTCAAAAGTAAACCATCAAACAATAAATTAGTAAGCAATTGAAAATAAATATAAATATAAATAATTAAAAGACAAAATGCAAAACTTTTCCTATATTATTGCATTTTTTGAGTTGAAATTTCTCCACTAGAAGTATCTATCTTTATGTACACAGCAAAATTAAACAGCATTGAGGTAAAAAGTAACATTGAAGTATCTATCCGCTATAATGAGTACTGTGCAATACACAAATTGTATGTGACAATAAAAGAGTCTCTTCAACATATATCTAAATATTTCTGATTACTAGATATGTATTGCATGATACATATATTATCATGTACAATACTAAAAACTATAATAATGATAATAACTAAAACAAGTTTTGTGTTTCGATAAATTCCCGAGAGCCTAAAATAGATGGTGAAATTCCATTGATTTATGGACTCAAAAATAATCCACGTATGACTACCCAACCAAAAAAGAAAGAAAGAACTAAATTAAAGAAAAGTACAAAAGAGAATGAAAAAATTACATGCTGACCTACTTCCACGCAATATGTTGGCTTCACTTAGTTCCA